AGAAGTTTACGAGTTGTATACATATCTTTATGGTGGTCAAAACTCAATTATAGGTTGATAGACTCTGTCGATTACTTATCTGTCAGCTAATAAACAATCCCCAATTTCATCTAGCGATAAATCATTTTGTACATAGTTTATTGTCTTATTTAGACAAGCAGTTAGTAATTTAATTAGGCTATTTTAAGGAGGCGTCGCATGATTCAAAGTTAAGCTTTATCGTTAGTTAATGTAAGCAAGATAACTAGTGAAAATCACGAATTACTGGATAAGCGTTCCTCTCTAATTTAGGACTCTTAACTGATGTTTTCAGATATCGTAATAAATTTTTTTTCTAGCTAAATCTTGACAAAGCTACTGTTTATTTTAAACTGCTTACTATTCACTAAGATTTATTCTTAATTATTATTTCTAAAAGCCTAAATTTTGAAAGGGATTATTTTTCATTACTTTCCAATGCCCTGATATTCACTTAGATTTAACTAAAAGTAGATTGTAATTTGAAAGCCGTTACTATATGCATCCCAAACAGGGACTCATTTGTAATTATTCTATCTTAAGTCTCACGGGTTTTGAGTTTGAACCTGACAGCAGTCAGTGTTCTGTAGTAAAGTGTAATGACAAACGAAACCCGGTATCGGATAATCTTCTATTTATTTAATGTACTTTCATTTTATGACCGAAATTGTAGACGAGTGACGATAATTCTATTTTATAAGCAACATTTTTTTCGATTGTTAGATCGCAAACATATATGATACTTATATACTATAAAAATATAAAGTTTTGGTTAATCACTGATTCATATTTTGTCCCGACACATAATTAAAACAAAAAGACATAACTAAATGAGTTATAAAGCAAAACAATAAATTAGCATTGATGTTTACGAAAAATATTGTAAAGTTCACTTTCAACTTGTCAAGTCGACACTGTTTTGACTCAGTTTTCTACGCCTAAACATGAATACAAAATGAGTTTTATGATATTTTCGTAGCGTATAGTCTAAGATATTCGATGACGTATTTGGCTTGAGTTGTCTATTTGTGTTTACATATGCATGAATTTATATGTTAATTATATACTTATTTGTATGATGAAATATTTATTTACATGCATGCGTATGAAGTATATATGTCTCATTAAGAGAAACCTAATGCGTGTTAGTTTTTGACAGTAATCACTGATATAATAAAGTGTGTTGACTAATATTAACGTTAATAATCTTATAAACGCTGATTATGAAATTTGTGCCTCAACAACTTAAATACGAGTCTTATGAAGTAACGGGTTTTGTAAAAAAGAATATTAAACAATACTAATTCATATTTGTATACTTTTGGAAGAGATGACTTTGAAACTCATCTAGAGTGTTAAATATTTAAAGTTTAAAACTTTAAATTTACCTTCAAGATAATTTTGTTCACTTATCAAATCTAGGTCAAAAGAAGACCGTCTAAGGACTGTTCTTTTTCAATTTCCATTCATTTCTTCTCAAATGGTAATAATATACAGTTTCAAATTAAACTATATAAAAAAATCGCATCTTTTCAATAAGGTTTATGCTCCGGTAAATATATTAATTTCTTGTGAGAATTCTGATACTTGAAAAATGAACACAAACATTTACCTAAAAGCTTTAATGTTATATTACTAAAATTGTATTTTTCTTTAAATCCTTAGATTTTTCATAGATCTTTAAAACAGTTCTTTTGACAATTCTCTTCTCTGTTGACTTTATGATTGAGCGGATATCTGTTGTCTGTTGATAGATTAAACTGGTAAAAATAACTTTTGATCCTGTTCGGACTCCAAGACATCATAAATGCAAAATATTTCTATCTTAATCTAAAAATGTTTACAACATTAATCAGTATGATGATAACGAGGAACATAGAAATTATTACGAACATTGTTGACTGTTAGTTCAATTCTACATTAAATATGTATGATTTAAGAATTATCCGACAGTGCAGGTGCAAAGAGAAATATTAACCTGTGAAATAAAACTATCAAGTGTAAAGCCCCTTGATAGTACATAAAAATAGTGAAATGTGTGAACCGATAGAACGTTAACATCACCAAACATAGCTGTGGAATAAAACACATTTATAGCTCCATTCGCAAATTCTACACATTTTTTTTCAGAGAAGAAATCTTAGCAATATCTGAGACATTAGAAACATATTAATATTTTGGTTTTGTCATTTACAGGAGACTGCGTCACATCCAGAGTATAGCTTAGTGAAAAATTTTGTCACGTCTGGTTCTAATTAAATGGATAAATGAATATTTCAAAAAATAAATACGTATAAACTTTCATTCACACATATAATTTAAAAAAATATCTACCTATTGAATGTATGGTAGTTATCAAAGCTTTGTATAGTAAATTGAATAGAACGATGAACTGCACTCGATATAAGAAAAAGAAACGAGTTCTTATATATTTTGTATAGGCCTGAGCATAATAATACCATAGCAACATCAATTTGTCAGTAAGATAATCAAGGAGACAAAATATCCCATTTGTAATGCTTAAATACAAATTACTGGCTTTTATTTTTCTTTTTACTCTTAAGATAATCATCTAATCATTAGTTGTCTATTTATTAGACAAGTTGATGCATGTAATATTATCAGCTTGAATGGTATAACCCAACAAGTGTCAATTTATAGACTGTTATAATGAACTTTACTCATCAGAGACGTTTATTTAAATCACTGATTAACTTTCAAGTTCTGTATAGTGTATCAGAGTTACTGACCTAGACTTGTCTCATTTAAGTAACTGTAACCATTATGTTAATGACCTTACTAATTATAGCAGTTTATTTTTGTCCCTTAGAAATATACATAAACAAGAGAGTAAGAGAAAAAAAGAGAGAAAGTATGAGTACTAGAAGCATCTGTCACTTTCATGGTAGTACAATTGACAAGTTAACAATTATTTTGCGAGTTTTACTAGTAGACAGGTGTGTCCTGGCGCCATTCATTAAAGCTGAATAATCTTAAATTGACTAGATGCATCTAAATAAAACTCAAGTTACCATTTACTCTATACCATTGCCCACCATTTCTCATTCGCTTCTACTTGATATACAGAAATTTATAAGGAAAATCATTTTTTTTATCTATTCAATGATCAGCTCATCATTCTTATTAATCCGTTGATAATTATATTTAGTTTTATGTCTTACTTTTAGTGAGACTTATTAGGGTGTGATTGGTCTTTCAAGTTTGATTAGATGTAAATAGATGATAATGACAAGGGTAATTACCTCCATATTGTCGCTTTTATATAATGCTATATGAAAGTAACAAGCAACCAGTTGCATAAATCAGATTACATAATATAGATCACTTCATCATGAGCATATATATGGAATGTTAAATGAATAGTGACTGAATAAAAATTAAGAATGGAGACGTATATTCAGGTGGTTGGGTGTAATAAAATAATCAAAGGTATGTCTAAATATATGAATATGTATTTTATTTCTATTCAAGTAAACAAAAGATTAAAAAGGAAATAAAAGTCTAATCCGTTTAAAAAATGATATTATCATTACTGTCAATCAGAGCATGAATCTAATGAACATGTTTACTGTTCCCATGTTTGTCTGTATTTTTCCAAATCTTACTTAATACTTATTTGTGAAATGTATTAATTCACTAATGAAGACTATTCAAACTTGAAAAAGAACTCTGATTGCTTTAATAAACCGTCCATCTATCATTACCTTTCAGACAGAAAAGTTATTGAAGTTTAATATTAATATCAGTCTCATGACTCCAGAGGGGAATCATTTCCGGATTTTCAAACTTTGCGAATAGTTTATTGATTACCATCTTGAGATGGCTGTTATTTATTTCGCATTGAAATTCTTTAATATCGAAAGCAATTTCTTGATCGTCTGCTTGTTAATTTGTCCTCAGTATAAAAAAAAGAATGTACAAATTTTAATAATTATCGGGAAAAAGCACAGGTATCCTATAGAGATGACGATCAACAATAACCACTGTATGTATATTTGTGTTTATTGTCATTCTATGAATCTTCACAGATTGAAATCATGAGTCAGTTGAAGCTAGATCACCATTGAAAACCTGGAAGCACTGGACGGCCGTTTCGTCCTAGTATGGGACTCCTCAGCAGTGCGCATCCACGATCCCGCACCTCGCGGGATTCGAACCCAGGATTTACTGGCTTTCGCGCGCGAGCACTTAACCATTAGACCACTGAGCCGGCATCCAACGGTGTTAATGTCTAACTTCAACCAATTCTATGAATCGAAAGAAACTTATGTTAAACTAGCTATTTCATGTAACGTAAATATTGTAACATCTACAACTGTACTCATTCAAATTATCTATTAACTTGGTTTTTTATAAAATTAGTATTGTGAGGCGTGAATATACAACTTTCAGATCATCTCAACTTTGGTATTGCGTATATAAAGCTTTTGTTGTTTCCTGACATTATGTTCATCTCAAATATGT